ACAATATATGTGCCAGGAGGATTTCCCCTATTAAAATATATACTTTAATCATGCAAACCCCAAAAACAAAGCATTACAATACAAAAAAAGAGATGAATCAACACGCTCCACATTGTGCGTTTTGACACGAGGCAGTGTGTTGGATCCTCCTTTCTTAACAACACTTCCACTGGGCAAGTCTCCATCACCATGTCTCAACGTCTGAATCACTTCAAACTGTGACAGCGAAAAAAAATGCTAAAAAAGTATCAGTGCACAAGATTCCCTCGTCATTCGCGAACTTGCTATTCGCGATTTTGGCTATCCGCGAATCGCATATGGAACTCCACACGACTGCATTGAGACAGAGACAAAGTGATGAAATAAAGTGACGAGAGAGAATGTGATGCGAGAAAGTGATGAGATAAAGCGATGAGATAAAGAGATGAGAGATTTATTTTCGAAGCTTTAGAAGCTGCTGCAGACGTTGCCCGTACGATATCCATCGGCCAATATCACTACCCGCGACATTTTATATTCATGAGCATCTCCGGAACGTATCCCTCGCGAATAACGAGGGAACACTGTACACGGCATGACACATTTTGGTAAGTATTCTGAAAGTGCCAGGTCTCTTTCCATTTGGAGATGGGTGAACCAACAATCGGTGGAACTAACTGCTCCATCATGCTGTACAGGTTAAAACGTGGAGATGGATGTATGCACACACACACAGGGCACAGATGGCACTGCGATTAATGGCTAAGTGGTCCCACTCACTCAATTACCGTTAAACCGAAGTCCGTTGCGTTGAACGCAAACGAGGGGTCAGGTGGATGTTGTTGATCAGACTCCTCGTTACAGACAAGCCACAACACAAAACTTTTTGGTAAACAGAGTTACACACATTTTCTTTTTTGCGGGTTTATAACATTGACACGGGGTTGCAACATTCACACACCACGCGCGTTTAAACCATTTGTGCAATTCTGGGGCGTAATGTAAAAACGGAAAACACCACATCCACTCCTGCTGGTCAATGCCATTGCTTTTGTTTTCATGTCAAGCTTAATTCCAGTACGTTGAATGAATATATGCAGCAGTATATAGGTACATTACAGAGGGAATGAAGTGTAAATTTGGGATTTTTTAAATGCAAACAAAATACACAAAAAATGCAAATAAAGAATGTTGATGCCTTCGGTCACCGAACAAAAACATGGACTTCGAAACAAGTACAAAAGGTTAGTGCAACATTTTACCACCCTTCCCCCAAACGCTTCGACTACCCTTCCACTATCTGTACAATCATCAGCCATTACCTATCCAAATGCTGTTGCCCTCTTGGGTCTGTGATGCAAACATCCAGCTCACTGTGGCAGCCGAGCCGATTTGAATCGCTCCATTTCTACAGTGGTCATCCTCTGGGGTGTGTGCGTTTCCCTCCTTAGGCCGTCATTCTTTCACCAATCTCCTTCAATGGCCATGTGATGTGTCCTGTTCAAGCCCACTTAAGTCAATTACGCACCAAGGATGCATCTTTCCATGCTTCTCTGCACCTTCCAGCTCTTATTACATTTTGTCAGTGTTCACATTTTTTTTTGATGAACAAATCATAAGCCAGCATTATACACCAATGAAAAACTTGCAACTCCCAATAATCACTTTTCGTGATCAAATCTAAGTTCCTCGAAAGCATTCCATCCTGCTGGTTTGCCTCCGCCATCCGTTAAAACTCCACCTGCATATGCATGCTCCGAATCAAGCCGCTGAACGTGACTTTGTTTTTCCTTCTTGTCGAACTTTGTGGCCTTCCGTGTGAAGCTCTTCCGTCGTGTTGTGCAGTGTTTCACCGCAATAATTAAGCATCCCGTTCCGGATAAATAGGCAGCCACATGTAAATAGACAGCTGTATAAACACAGCGGTTCGTAAATTTGACACTGAAACAGTATGCACGTAAGATTATTTAATTCCTAAAGCCACAAGGGTAAATTGCAGAACTGATAATACCCAACAAGAAAATTATTCACTAAAAATATGAATTGGTTTGATAAAACAAGCAACGATAACCGACGTGTTCCTTGAAATATAGTAATGTGTCCTAATATATCCTCATCAAAGGAAGCTTAATTGCACTGTGTAAGTGTACAGTATTTATATAACTTTAATTTGGATTAGTAGTCATGCATTGGGCTGTACAAAGCATACCAGCAAGTGCACGTTGTGTCCGGGAGGAGAGTTATGCATTTTCAAAATAAATGTAAGTCAAAGGATGATATTGAGTGATACTTTATGATGTGCCTCTTGACAGCAGGCGAAGCGATGTGATCAAGGTAAAGCAACAAGTGCAATGTAATTTTGAAATGTCTTGTTCAAAAAAATAAGTTAATTCATGGCTCACACGTTTGCGAATAAGGTCACACGCGCATCTGGTGAGAAAGTGGATAGAAAATTAAAGCTGAGCAAATTTCAAGTTAGAAAAAAAAATAATTGGGGAAAATGGTTCAATGGTGGTAATGGTCAACATTAATGTATCCCCCCCCTCCCCTAAAAAAACTTTAAAAAAACAATTATATACACACTGCATTGTGTACACAATAACACACGCCTCTAACCATTAGAACATAACCAGTCGAATGAAATCAATCTTAGACGTCTTGCCCCTGGAATGCACAGCAAAAAAAATCCATGCTGGCTTTCAGCAGAACAACCAAATGCTCAATTGTAAAAAGTGAACCACTAAATTATTAACTGCACGTAACACACGTATTGCAGTCCTAGCTTAATTTGTCACGGCGTACTAAAGCCTCAACAACATTTGGGTGGATCCGGATTTCCCCAGTTTTTCGTTGCTAGACGCCACACGATATTTGACATTTTCCATAGGATTTTAGCATAGGTCAGCAGGGACACAAGCTTTTGTTCAAGCAGTCGCTGAGCACAGGTTCAAAGGCCCATAGCCGCAAGTGGCCAGTAACAAACACCTTAAGAGGTCCGGCAGTCAAATTCTCATAACATTTGCGTGTCACTCATTCTGCTGTAGCCATGCTTCGCAATTTAATGCAAATATTCTTCAGTGAGGTAACATTACATCACAAATGTACACAGGATGTTCTGAGGCTTTAAGTCTCAAGCGGCAGTGCTCTGAACTAAGACCAACAAAAAAAACCCCAATAACTTTGCATCGATGCTCTGCCGACTTGTCCTACATCGTATACCGTAAGAGGCCGCTAGAGGGCGCGCGCGTCACATACACGTGTTCACTTGAGCTCATCGATGGATCATCCTAGTGCATCTTCTTGGTTCTTTTGGTAGTCACGTAGAATGGAAATAATAAATAATATAACATTATAAAATTATTCTCACGACGTTTCGGCCACAACGCAAGCAGCCGTCCTCAGGTGGAGAACAGGTCTGTCGAGAAGACAGTCTGAATGTCAGTCTGTCTTCTCGACAGACCTGTTCTCCACCTGAGGACGACTGCATGCGTTGTGGCCGAAACGTCGTGAAAATTATTTAATGTTTTATTTTCATTATTTTATTATTTCCATTCTACGTGACTTACCGAAAGAACCAAGAAGTTGAATCCCTGCAGTCACGAAAGCTTTAAATCGAAACATCCTAGTGCAGCTTCACCTTCCAGGCTGCTGCCTGCCTATGGAGGCCACTGTTCCTACGTTTGCTGGACATTTTTGAATTGACGTCACGTTTCCGTAACAAACGTAAAAACAAAAATGCTAAGTGAGTAAACATTACAAAAAAGCAAGTTATCTGATGACTTCAATCTACAATTATTTAAACAATGTGGCTTAGATGTATAATTCTTATGCTGGTTTTCAAGCAATGTATGTGCTTTTTCAAAGCAGAGCAGTCCACATTAAGGGCAAGGCTGTTTGCAAATTTCAGGTGAAGTGGATTTAAATCGGTAAGTCGTGTGGCTCCATTGAGTGTTGTACTAACCAAAGATAAAACAAAATTCCCGTCATTCATCACAAAATAAAGTTTACTACCACAATGTGTTCAGTGCTTGCACAATGCTTACGTAAATGTTCTCAGTTCTCGTTGAATATTAAAAAATACAGTATTTATCGTACAGTGTGCCTTCCAGATCCAATGTTTAGCCATGTTAAAATTAAACAATGTGGGTGATGCTGCCGCGTTGGATAGCCACGATGTTAAAAGTCTGCGTTGATAGTGCCGCACGAGCAAAATGAACTAAATTAAACACAACACATTCATCAATAACACTGTCGCTTTAAAATGATGTGACATTCAGGCAATAGCATTTGTTCATAGCAGCACATGTGCCGTGCATTTTTACGTTTACGGCAGAGTTATTGACGAATGTGTAAAAATTTTACGATGTTAAAAGGTCACCCACCGCATTCAATATGAGCGTCAACAATAAAGCCACTTCCAGCCAACTTTCAATGTCCCTACTTTAGCATTGGAAAATTGGGTGCCAAGGTTGAGTCTATACTGACAGCAGAACTAAATGGCTGTCAAAACTTTTGCACAACTTTTAAAATATGTATTCAAGGGATGGATCAAGGCCAGCTCTGTTGGTGATAAAATGGTTAAACCTCAGTTATTTTGCCTGCTGCATTGCGAATGTTAAACTTTTTAAATTTCTATTCTCATTAAAATTAACTATTTTGCAATGGGACCTGCGTATAGCCAGTGCAGCTGATCACCTGTAAAATAAATGGCCAAAAATGCTAACGTTTACGCAGATGTACCTTTAAAAAAAACCTTGCTAATTTAGCGTAAATATTAACCTCAAACAAAATAGCTCATTTACCTCGAGCACACGTATCCAGCTCATGTTATAACACAATAAGGCAGGCAGAGTGAGCGAAGTGCACCAATTCCCATACTGTTATTGGATACAAAATAAGCATCCATGTTCCTGGTGCTTCCAAATGTTGAGAGCACTCAAAAATGACACATGTGGGAAAAGGAAAGTGGCTGAAAGGCTCAGGGGGCGACTGATCGCATAAAAGCACTCTGCCTGTACCACTCAAATCATTGGGTTTGAATTGAGTAGAAACCTTAAAAAAAAATAAAGCAAGTTGACAATGGCAACGTTTGATCATCCCAGCTTTACAACTGATATTTGAACAATGAAAAGATAAGCATTTTAAGTCAGCACACCCCAGTTCCGAGGGTTTATTTTGGCAGAACTGTGCAGAATAAATCTTATTTGTGCGAAAATAAAGACGGCTCAGACTAGCATTTGTGCGAAAGAAGCCCTTCTCAAGGGATATCTGTCAGAAGTCTACGACAAGACCGGTAGCTCCATGGCTGTGAGGGGTTCAGGTATGCAACGTGTAGAACTCTGGTTCATGAATGCTGATTGCACACTTGTGATACGATGCATTCAGCAAAATATCAGGTGTTATTTTTTTTCCCAAATGGCAGAGTTTTACTAGGTACGCACACAGCGGGATGTTCCTTGCGATAACTCTGGGATTTTTGTCCAAGACATTCGCGTACAGTAGCATGCTCATGCGAATTAGTACGGGTTGTAAATGTGTTTTACTGCCTTTGTAAAGACATACATCTGCACTGGAAGGAGGCGCAAACTGTAACATTCTGCAAGTTTTCGTTGGTAAGCATGAACATGGTACGTGAAATAAGATTTTAATTTTTGTCATAGATCTTACATGCACACCAAGGGGCAAGATATGTTCTTATTTGGAGAGTGAAGGGCAGGACGCTATCCTCTCCTTATTCCAACTTTAACTATCGCAAGGAACAAACAATCAGGGCTTACCGAGTTTAAACATACATATGACAGAGGAATCCCTGTTTCACAGCTATTTAATAATAAACTCACTGGGTACTGATCAAAATTGAGAGGATTTAACAAACCTGTTGGTTCATATAAACTGCAAAACTTTGGGAGAGTCAGAGATGTTTCATGGTAAGATCTTTGAAGATTAATTCTTGGCTTGACATAAAAAAATTTGAGTGAGTATTTTTGTTGCTGTAAAAAGCACAGGTGAGAGAATAAATAATGAACGTTGCTTTTCCATAAGAGCGGTTTGAGAAGGAGCTTGAGGCAGCCTGCTAGAGGTAGGAGTTTGGTGGGCTGCGTGGGGTCGTCTTGTTTCACGGGAATGCGTGGTTCGGGGAAAGTTGGTGAAGGTGGGAGGGAGGAGAGCCTTTTTTTCTTCCCTCCTTGCGTTTCATTGTTGTCCATGCCTGCACAAACCCATCCACCGCTCAACAACGCGGTGGCGAGTCTTTGCAGGACCCTCCCTTTGCATTGCAGAGCTCACATAATCCCCATGCGCATGAGTGCGTTGGCATAGGCCATGGGCTTCACATTCGGGTGAGGCTGTTGGTGACAAGAGAAAAAAAGACAAAATATTGCCCTTTAGCCAGTGACAGACAAATGTGATCACTGTTGCAAAAAGACATACTCACAGACACAATTAATTATAAGAATTATATGAAAAATAATAACAAGTTCAAGTACATTAGTTACACATTTGAAATACATCACCCCTAATCTAGTCACTGTTGTCTGTACAGAGAAATGAAAACATTCCGAGGTTCTTTAAATGTATGCCTTATTAAATGCAGATGCAATTTTGACATGCTCAAACATGATTAAAAAAATGAGAATGTGTCAAAATTTTTAAGGTGTAGCTTTTACAAGATTCACAAATTAAATGCATCTAACAAAAAGAGCACTGTACATGTTAAACCGCTGTCGGTGGCCTTGTAATGACCAAATGTACAACAGTTGAGATTTTGTCGAGAACAGTGACCAAAGTGTAATTATTTCATATAGATGAGCTCATACTGTCAAACCAAGCGATGTGCTTAGCTTGGCAATAAACCAGTCTGGGATTATGAAATCTGTACGTACGCAACATGTTGTCCTGATAACTCTAATTGCATGATTTATGTACAATAATACCTTCTCTAAGCTAGATTCGAGTAAGCCAAAATGCTGGGTAAACCAGAAGGCAACACATGTAACTAAATGTTTAATAATTAACAAAACAACTCCAACTGTTACACTATTCGCAGTCCTAATGAAACTGTGCATCATGGGAAACGTTGTGCCTACGTGCACTAGCAATTCTAAAGCTACACACAAAACTCATCTGTTGTATAGAATTCAGCAAACCCGTTTCTTTGGAGGCCACGTGCCCTGCTTGGACTATCGCTCGCTCTTGTTTTTTAAGCTTCGGGTTTATTTTTCAAAGGATCAAAATTATTCAGGCCTCTCTTAAAATAAATGTAACCCATTATAAGCAGTGAACCTCAGCCCTCCCCCTCAGCTTCACGGTGATGCTAAGCACCTCAAATTCAACTGTACAAAAGTGATTAGTTATTAATTGTAAACATCAGGGGCTCTGCACACAATTAGTCTGGCTTTGAGTTGTTTTTACCAAAGCATCTCCCATTCATGCTCAGGCTAGGGGCACTAACTGTACGGTTCGTTCGATTTGTACTCACAACGGCCGCAAATTCATGGAACTCCGGTTTTAATGCGGGAGCCATCAGATGAATGTAGGAGCCTTTGTTGCCCATCTGGTCACTGCAGGGAAAAAAGCAAACACGATCAGTATTAAACAAGAAAACACGTTAATCACAAAAATAATAACAGGATGGTTCTTTTTAATAATAATGACGTTCATAACGTGCACAATACTTAACAGATGTACATGACCGTGACTCTGGGGCCGTGACTCTCAGTCACTTGAAAGCCAGGTGAAAGAGGAGAAGGGGCCTTTAAGTGCTTCTGAAATGTCGGTGTACATTGAACGCTGCTCCGATTGTGCCGTGGCATGGCGCTATAGACGGCGGAGGCTGGCATGGCCTGGCAGTGACTGTCTTGCTCCTTGGGGTAGAGGGGAGGTTCGTGAGTCGTGCTGCTGCTGCTGCTACGGATAACTCTACCGTGAGCTGTGGTGCAGGGTTACAGAAGTGAAGAGAAATATGGGGACTGCAACAGAGAAACGACACCCAGCAGTGGCAGTCCTGGCTCCTTGATTTATAGAACAAGTTTCTGAGTTGCGCTGCTGGGAAGATTTATTCTGTGAGCTGCAGTGCTGAGTGAGAGGAGTGAAGACACGGCAGATGACCAAAAGTAGAGCCATGGTGGCACAGACAGGCGATGTTGGAGCTGACCCTGCTGGCGATGGGAAGCCAGCGTAGAGCGCGGAGGAAGGCGAGGGAATCTAGCCGAGGGTGACAGGCGCCGAAGACGATGCGGGCGAGATGGTTTTGGAATCGCTGGAGTTTTTTTTAGAGATTTCTTGATGGAAGATTGAACATCAAGCATCGATCAGATGCACTTCTGCGGCCGTCTGGGACGCTCTTCAGTCCGATATTAGAAAGCCACTGGAGCTATGCACTTTAAAATCTAAATTGACGGCTCATTTCTATAGACCTGCTGCACTTTTGTGTTTAGTTTGTTGTATTGCCCCGCACCTCAGATTAGCGCGGTGCGAAAGAAGTTCAACATACATACAACATATACCTGTTGCCAGTTAACTCAAGTTATGTGAGAGTTTTTCAATCACTGCCGTGGAATGTCTCAGGTCTTCTCCAAAGAGCAACTGTGGAGCACACGACTGCAAGGAAACGAGAAGGCTGCGGTGTGGCGAGATGTCATCACCCTTGCAAGTTGCATCTGAAAGCGTACGATGCAGTCGCCGCCTTTGTTTGACGGTTATCCAAAAGCCACTGCGAGGATGACGGAGTTTCCGTAATGGTTTATGCTTCTTGACGAGATCAGCAAGGTATTGTGTGGTTTATCCATGGCAAGAATAGTGTTGGTAGAGTGACTCGAGTGAATTAGTAGGTAGTGTCATATTTGAACTGAACGAGTGAGGCAGCTGAAGGTTCCTAGAGAAGACACCACAGTGCTGCTTTCCCCTCTTACCAGTAGTTGGGTGCAGAGAAGACGGTGACGCAGCGGCCGTCGTGGGCCACCTCGTAGCCTTCCGGCTTCACCTCGTGGCTGCGGATGATCAACTCGAGGTTGTTCTGCTCCATGAAGGCCCGGCTCACGTCCGGCCCAAACTGGCAGCTAACGCCACGCTTACTCACCGAACGGCCAGGCTGTGGCACACCACCACCGCCATGAAAACAAAAATAAATTAAATGTTCACCCTGGCGGTAAATCTGTTACCATCCTCACGAACCTCCTCACAGTTCAAACAAAGTCATGGAATTTGATGATAACCTCCAGTTTATGTTAACATCCCACAATTGTCTCGTCTCACAGCCAAGATGAGCACACAATACCACCCATTACCGTAAACTGGCAAATGTAATTTCGACTTATTCTATTGGTGAGGCCACAACAATGTGTGCGACTGGATTGCACGTATCGCTGAATTACATAGCTGCAGTGTTAATAGGTGTGAAATGTTGCTACACTGTATACCAACTGTGTGTACCATAAGTGTACCCCATTTTAGCCAGCGCTGGTTGCTCTGCATCCCTGTAATCAAACACTGTGGAGGTGAGGGGTTGGTGCACCATACAAATGTTGTGAAACCCCATTTCTGTGGGGATCGAGGTGGATCCACACCCTGGCTCACAATGCAAAGATGGTGATGCAAATTGCAGACTGATGTTTTTTGTCCCTTCTGTATGAGATGTTGCTCATTCGCAACGATACAGGTGTTCTGGCTTCCCCCCAAAAGCATAAACACTAATCGGCTGAAACCATCTTTGAAAAAAGTGTTTTTTTTTTAACCAGGTAAGGCCCACTACTGAGCTATGTAGCTTTTAAATTTCGATTTAAAGCTTTCGTGACTGCAGGGATTCATCTTCTTGGTTCTTTCGGTAAAGTCACGTAGAATGGAAATAATAAAATAATAAACATTATTTTATTATGTTTTATGTAGCGCTTTTTCAGAAGTGACTTGGCCACAAATGACAGCTCAACAAAAGTGGGTCGTCACGTGGAAATATAGAGCAGCCAAATACTCTAAACGTGTGTTTGTAAATTTGGAGGGAAAAACCGGAAGAGCCGGAGAATAATACACACAACCATGGGGAGGGCATGCAAACACCAAATATACAGGTGTCAGGGTCCAGATCGAACCCACGGCCCGCTGTATACCAGGCGAGGGAGTTAACATCTCGCCACCATAGACTGCGAAGCTTGGGCAATTGTTGGTGACACCTGAACGTCTTGGCTGCTTTCCCAGCTTTGTCTGTGGTTCCTCAGCAATTGTCAGATGCAAACTGCACTCACAATGAGGCTATACAACACTAAACATTAATTGGAGGAAAATGCGCAAATACAATGCCTGGAACAGCAGATACAACATTACACACATGCAAAATGGTTCACTACGCAAGTGAAAAGAAACAAATGTGAATAAACACAACTCACCTGTGGTTGTGGGTCTGACCACAGCAAGTCACACATGGGACCTGGACAAAGAAGAAACAAAGGAATAATATTATTTGAAGTCCTTGATCCGTGAGTGGTTCTGTAGGTAGTTAAGATATTCCCGTGAGTGGTGAAGATATAACAGCAAATTTTGTAAGTAACAAACATTAAAAAAATTTGACTTAAAGCTTTCGTGACTGCAGGAATTCATATTCTTTGGGTCTTTCGGTAAAGCCATGTGGGTTTACCGAAAGACCCAAAGAATTTTTAAAAATATCCTGAACCTTGTAACCGCCAGCTGCAAGTGATGCCACACAGATAATATCAACGTATCCTATCATTGTCAATCCAAAAATTGGTACGGTATCTACACGTTTCAGCTGTACTTAGTGATGAGAATGCAAAAACGGGCCATACTTAATAAGCGTATTAAAACGAACTTAACAAAAAATATGGTACAGGGGGAATAAACTGTGGAGTGATGTCAGCAAGGGACTCTGCTAACACATAATTAATTTCTGGGTCAGATTGTGTAACTAAAATGCGTGTCATAAAGCCTCCCCCAATTGACAAAGCGAATGAATAAAGTTGTCAAGAGAACAAATGTGTAAATTCATTATTGATTCAGCACACCAGTGTGCTGGAGAGCGATCCGCGACATTTAACAATTCAGTACAACGTTTTGCTGGTATTACAACCAGCATCGTCAGGCAGTGTGCGCATTAAATGATGACAATAGCTGAAACTTGGCAGTATGTTTCAAGCAATGGATACATATCAACGTGAATATATGAGTTGACTCCAGCTTCGAGTTAGCTCTCGTCAAGATGAACAAGTCTTGCAAGGAGGTGCCCCCACACTTTCGACTGAACTTCGAGAAGCAGGAGGAAATGTTGAATGTGGCCATGCAATAGCGCACACGATGGCCTAGGGGGCAGCACTGCACCTTCGCATTCCGACGGTGCACCAGAGTTCGCAAACGGGTTTTGATTCCTTACCCGTACCCGGCCGCACCAGGGTCGCAAACGGGTACCCGTACCCTACCCGATACCCGGCTACCCGTACCCGGCGGGGTATCGGGTAGGGTACGGATATTGGGTAGTTGATTGCGACCTGTGGGATGAAGCCATGTTGCAGGCACGGGTGGGTTGATTCTAGGAACTTGAATTGTGAAAAGAGACAAGACGTTGGGAAATGAGTGACAAACGGTTACTCACCAGTGACTCACGGCCTACCCGTACCCGGCCGCACCAGGGTCGCAAACGGGTACCTGTACCCGATCGGGTACAGGTAGCCGGGTATCGGGTACCCGATTGCGACCTCTGCGGTGCACTGCAGCCAGTGCAGTGTCAACACAATGAGAAGCCTTCTCATCTAGTTCTACTTGAATGGTGTATGATCAATACGTGCATTTATTGTACCCTATTAAATCGGTATGGTTGTGGTGTTACGAACACATTTTTTTCCCATTTTACCAGGTAAGGCCCACTGAGCTACGTAGCTTTTTTTCAGAAGTGACCTGGCGCCAAATGACACCTCAACGAAGTGGCTAATCACGTGGAAATGTATAATGGCCAAATTCTCGAAACGCATGTTTATAAATGTGGAGGAAAAGACCAAAGGACCCGGAGACAAATCCATGCAACCACGGGGAGAACATGCAAACTCCAAATTTACAGGCGTCATGGTCCAGATTGAACCCACGACCCACTATATACCAGGTGAAGGCGATCTAAAGGTTGCCACCACAGCGCTCCTTAAAATAAAAAATCATGACTGAACATGCTCAACCTGCGCGTAAATTCCCAATTATGATAAAGTAAAATAAGCCAATACGGTTATAAATAGGGCTGCACCCAGATATAAAATTTTCCTTCAAATTTAGCTGAAGATATCTTTTTCAATAATAAGATAGGGTTGGGTTAAAGCAAGAAAATAATTACGGAGCGAAATATTAGTTTTGAGCACTGGCGATTGCCGATGTGACGTGACCAGTGTGGCCGGCTGCGGGGAACAGGACGGAGAGGGGAGTGCAGGGAAGGAGGGGGGGGGGCAATGATAAGGATGAGTGACAGGTGAGAGACAGAGAGCGGGAGGATAGGGACGGGAGGGGGGCTGAGAGACGAGGCAGAGGAAATAGAGACAGATAATATAGAGAAAGAGACTTTCGTGGGAAAGGCTTAACAAACCTTGTAACAAAAATTACTAATTGTATTCGAATTTAGATTCACTCAAAAGATACAGTGTTAGACATAACGGTGAACCAACGATTATGCCGATTGGGTGTATTGTCTGATATGGCTATTGTTCATAATTGCACCCCAAAAAATATATAAAAAGTGCAATTTGGTGAACCCCTAAGCTACTAAACACACTGACGTGAAAGTTTCCACCAACTTGCATATAACAGTACACCAGCCTGTTTAATCGAGTCGACAATGCTTAAAGAGAATGGTCTTGTACATTTGTAGGTAGTGTAGCTAAAAGGTACACCACACCACTTTGTGGTTTACAGCAAGCGTTCGCCTACCCGAGTCTGGCGGCTGGCGGTTCCGATCGATCTTGCGGATGTCGTCCAGCGTGACTCCGTCCTCGCTGAACAGGCCACCGTGCATTATCTGCAGAACAAATCCCAACATCGCAACCATTTCCACCGGCAGTTACATCACCAAGTGCTCTCAATCCACTGCTGGGACGTGGCCTTTGCAAGTTCAAGCCTTCATAAATTAAACGTGTAATAATTCGCATAAGTGTTTTCTCACTCTCACGGAGAGAGAACGACTCGGAGGCACGAGGAGGAACCAGACGAGTGGGCAAGGCAGCCACGCCAACACATTCCTGCGGAGGGAGCTGGTAGGAACGTTGGGTTGTTCGGTCAATGGCGGCGTGGTGTATTCCGCAAATATGGCCGACTGTGAGGGCGGGCACAAGCCAGCGTGAGTAGGTTAAACGTTGAGTTTTATAATGGTACCATGGGGTGACCAGCCCCTCCCCACCCAGCCCCACCCCTCCCCACCCCCCACCCTCCCGACCCCCCCACCCTCCCCACCCAACCCCTCCCCTCTCCACCCAGCCCCACCCCTCCCATTTTTGGATGCACGACGGACGGACACAATAATCCCCTGTGGGCTGGTTAAACCAGGTGGTTCCTACCAGTATAAGCCCGTGCCAACAATTGCCAAAGCTCTGCGGTCCTCTTAATATTCTACCGTTATCGGACAATGAATAAAGGTTAACATGTGGGAGGAAACTGGAGCACACAAAGAACAGCCACGCTTGTGGGGGGGGGGGGGGGGACACTATACAGACGGTACAGGTGGAGTTCACATTTTTGCTCTACAGCTTTCTTGTGACCAGCCAGCATTGTGACATCTCGAGGGCCACATGAAGAAGTTTCGCAACATCTGTGCGATCCCCCAACCCCCCCTCCCCTCCACAAGTACTGGATAACATGCCACGTGCATAGCCGCCACCGCCCGGCTATGCCACCAAGCCATATGTTTTAAACAATGCTCTTGCAGTCAGGTGGCGAAATATAATTTAATTAAATGTTAAAAAGACACCTTTGGAATACGGCTGTGTTTAGTTCATGACTATTTATTCGTCTAGAAATCTGTCTACTCAGGTCAGATACTCAACCATATTATAAGCAGACACCTGCGAAGACCGAACTGGCCTTTAGCTGTTTTCCTACGAGAATGTAATCGCAAGGACTCAGTGAAAACAAACAAATCTCCCAGCTTTACAATTTTTTTTATAGGAATTAACATAAAAAAACGTAATTGGATTGTCCGTTTTAATTAATCTATGTTGTTCTGTCACGTTATTCACTTTTCCCAGTAATTTTAGCCTTGCTTTGTGCGTGACTGGTTGAATAGCCATACCACATTGCAAATGTTTTCAATGGGTTATGCAAAGTGTATATATTAGTGTATAATGTAAATACATTTTTATTGACTTATCAAGCAAGTAACTAGTGTCATTACAACTGGGTGAAATTGCTCCTTGATATTATTAAATATTATATATTTACTTTGTACAATGCCTTTCACAAACACAAAACGTCCCAAAGCACTTTATTATAAAGATCAGCACTCTGCACTTTTCTAAAAGGAAATGTCATCGCGAACGTTCGGGGAATGGGCAGTGATGAGTGGAACTCGGCCTTCTTGAGCTACCTCTGCCCTTCCATCTCATCGGTCATTTCTTGAGTTACCGTAAATTCAAGCGGTTATTTCCCCCCATCAAACTTAGCAAAACATGTCCTGACCAATTTAACACTTAGGCTTTCGCGACTAATATTATTCATAATATAGGTTTTGGGGTCAGATCGCATTATTCATTAATGTGTCGTAACCCTCCACCACCCGACACAGCCAAACAGTAAAAAATGTGTCACATTTTCAAAGGACAAAATAATTCACTTCTTTAGCCCACCGGTGTGCTGAAGAGAGAATCAACAGCATTTTAAATTGAGTACGACGTTTCGCTGATAATTACAATCAGCTACATCGGGCAAGAATGGTGAGGCTCTCCTGTTGCTTCCGGTCTTAAATAGAGCAGCATCAGGGTGACGTCATCATTTAATTCAATTCAATCTGGTGCAGTGATTCGAGGCAAGGAGGGGGAGGGTATTGCAATTATATAGATTGGTAATCATTCAATTGTTATTCATTGGTATTTGTTTCCCTTATAAGGAATTGTAATTCTATTTATTTGATAATACGCTTCCAGGCCGCACTAAGCCTGTAGCTGTCAGAGCGATTGAAGTTATTTCTGTTCCTCTCAATTTCAATGTATTCTATAATTAGTCTTGGCCAGTAATAATTAGTTTTACACAACACTTCAACGTTATCAAAATCAATTGAGTGTCCTTTTAACACGTAGGCTAACAAATGCTAACCAAATTAGCACATTTTCTAGACTTTACAATAAACAAATCCCTATTAAAAACGAACAATTTAAAAACAAAACCGTAATGAACTTGACTAACACTAATTTAACCACTGACATGATTTCTGTCCTTTCTAAAGGCCTTAACTTTGCCGTTACCCCACGCACAATTCCAGTGGATGAGATAATTGCTGAGATAGAATCAGCAGTAAGACTACTTCCACATAATGAGGGAGAGATGACTAGACACGAGGTTGCCAAAATAATTGAGAATAGTAAACTACCAAAAGTAAATATTAGCTTGAACGAAGCAAAAGCCTTAAGAGAGCTCCGATTCAATAAAGATATTCAAATCCTGGCAGCTGATAAAGGCCACACTAATCTAGTGATGTCACGAGTTGATTATGATACTAAAATTAAAGATTTACTAGATGAAAGTACCTACATTAAAATTAAACGAGATCCAACCAATACTTTAGAACGTAAGACTACTGCAATAATTGAAAATGCATTAATTCCTAAGAATGAGCAATACCGAATTAAGCCAAGGGCTTCAAAACCACCGCGATTGTATGGGCTACCAAAGGTTCATAAAATCGGCATCCCATTACAACCCATAGTCAGTACAATTGGCTCTGCCACATATAAATGAGCAAAATATATAACTAAACAAATACAGCCCTACATCGGTAGGACATCTTCTTTCATTAAACATTCAGAACATCTTGTGAATGTGAATAAATATACCAAACTTAAACCTAATGATATTCCGGTGAGTTTTGATGTGATTTCTCTATTCACAAAGGTTCCAGTGAACGAGTCGCTTAAATTACTTGATACACTGGTAAAGAATACAGGTTTACCAAAATATATTCCGAAACTAGCTGATCATTGTTTAAATAACACTTACTGCTTATGGAGAGGCGATTTCTTTAAACAAAGGGAAGGAGCCGCAATGGGCTCTCCTTTATCTCCTGCTATAGCCAATCTGTACATGGAGAATTTTGACACAAGAGCATTTGCCTCGAGTACATTAAAACTATCCTTTTGGTTTAGATATGTTGATGACACCTTGGTTGTCTGGCCACATGGTAGATGCACTTAATGATTTCCTAAATCATCTCAATGCACAAAACCCGGCTATCCAGTTCACCATGGAAATGCAGGTAAATAACAGACTCCCGTTCCTAGATATTTTGCTGGGACATGGTCTTAATGGAAAAATAATACACAGCGTTTACCGAAAGCAAACGGACACTGATGCCTATCTGAATGCAGATTCACATCATCACCCAGTTCAGAAATCGTCTCTTATCAAAACACTCATACATCGGGCAAAAACAGTGTTAGATGGTGAGAGGCTAGTGAGAGAGATGAAACATGTTAAAGAAGCACTAAGACAGAATGTCTACAATAATGCTCAAATTAACAGAGCACTGAAGGCCAAATCACGAACGCAAAGCAACACTGCTGAAAGCGATAAGATTGTTCAAACCATCAAAATCTCATACATCTCAGGAGTAACTGACAAATTAGCCCAGGTTTTGCAAAAGCAAAACATTAAAGTAAGATTTGGTACAGTACAAAAAAATTAAAAACTGGTATCTGGCACTAAAGACGAATTGTCTAAATTAGCAACAGAAGGTGTATATCGGATGTAATTGTCTATGTGGCAGATGCTATATTGGACAAAGGGGACGCAACATCAGTGTAAGACTAAAAGAACACCAAAGAAACATTCAATTATCTCAAACACAACTGTCGGCAGTGGCAGAGCATGCTTGTCAACAAGGACACTCAATTGATTTTGATAACGTTGAAGTGTTGTGTAAAACTAATGATTACTGGCCAAGACTAATTATAGAATCCATTGAAATTGAGAGAAACAGAAATAACTTCAATCGCTCTGACAGCTACAGGCTTAGTGCAGCCTGGAAGCGTATTATCAAATAAATACAATTACAATTCCTTATAAGGGAAACAAATACCAATGAATAACAATTGAATGATTACCAATCTATATCATTACAATACCCTCCCCCTCCTTGCCTCGAATCACTGCACCAGATTGAATTGAATTAAATGATGACGTCACCCTGATGCTGCTCTACTTAAGACCGGAAGCAACAGGAGAGCCTCACCATTCTTGCCCGATGAAGCTGATTGTAATAATCAGCGAAAGGTCGTACTCAATTTAAAATGCTGTTGATTCTCTCTTCAGCACACCGGTGGGCTAAAGAAGTGAATTATTTTGTCCTTTGAAAATGTGACACATTTTTTACTGTTTGGCTGTGTCGGGTGGTGGAGGGTTACGACACATTAATAAATAATGCGATCTGACCCAAAAACCTATATTATGAATGTCCTGACCGTATGCGCAAGTGGTGGAGGAGACTATGAGGGTTTGTGTAAGGTGAGCGCTTGTGTTGATGAGAGAAAAAGGTTGTGTTGATGAGAAAAAAAGGTCAGGGGGCTCCACATGTGCCTCTGGCAAATGATAACCAATCAGAGGATGTTTGAGAAAATTGTTCAACTAATTGCTATAAATTCTTTCTGTGGTTGTCAACGCCAGTTCATAAAACATATCTAATCAACATCGCACCTCCCAGAAATTCCTCAGGAAGGAAAGTTTATTTCCGAGGAGAAAAAGACTCGGGGGTAACTCACGAAACTCAATACCTGCCTTTATGAAGGCTGCGGGAGCGGCCATTTATTTACATTACCAATAGCATAAATTACACGTCCACAGGATATTTGAGATACGGTCTTTGAAGAGCTCTTCCTCTGGCCCTGAACGCACACTTGTCGATATAAACTTTAACAAACTAAAAACACTTCCAATTACACTCCCTTCAGCCTACATTTTTGTTGCCCAACACACAGCTTGGGAAGTGAATTTGACCTTTTTTACTAGCCATAATAATAACACTGAAACTTTACATACACTTCTCTTCTTTAAAAAAAAAATGTAAAGAACTCTCGAAAAATTATGAGAAAATGTTAATTGTAATGTTGCTTGCATTGCCCTTATTTCTCAAATTCTCATAACATTTTCCAATCCCAGAAATGTGTTCCCTCATCGAGTACAACTTCCAACAGCGCCGTCTGTTACTGAACGCTTGTTGTGTTTAGGCCTGTGCTCAACCGTGAGAAAATCACACTGGGATGCCAATCACCACATCATTAACTACGTTTGCAGATCAGATGGCAGGCATTAAACTATATTCTGCTGGAATTTAGCTTTAATGTCATAAAATTCATCCTAGTGTAATAAAGGACTCGACCACTGTATCTGTCTTGGTGTCCTTTATTCGGGTTCGTATACTTTTCCCACACGGCTCTCTTCCAGAGACCCTCCGCTTGGCAGCCCGAGGCTGCACATCGCTCCCGTAGCCTTTCTCTGTTCCGTAGCAGCCCCGCTGCTGATCTCCTTGTGCGGTCTCCCCGGCCGCCCTCGCTGCAGCCTCACCGCTGCTCCCTCTGTTCCGTAGCAGTCCCGCTGCTGCTGCAGCCTCACCGCTGCTCCCCGCTTCTCCGGGGTCGGTCACCGCTGGCCGACGGTGCCGATCCCTACTCTGTGTGTGTGTGGCGATCTCGCCACTCCACCAACCTCCGCCCTGCGTGGCCTTATTCTATCCCAGTCTCCAACCACCTCCTTCTCTTCCGATTTCTCCCCTTTAAGACCTGAACCCTCTCCCCCACGTGACGTAGCTCCTCCCCCCGTGACGTCACATCCGGAAGGTCGTTTACGCCCGCATGACACCAGGAAGAAAAATATATAAGCAGAATTTGCCCACAATTCACAGGAATGAATAACAAAATAGTGTAATGCTTTTAAAAAGAGAGTCGATATGCCTGACAAGAAACCGATTAATTTGTGCCGATTTAAATAAAAAAATATGTATGTTAAAGATAAAAAGTCATGTTGACTGGAGCCAGCCAAAATAAATAAATAAAACACATTCAACTTGTACATTTAAAAAAACACTACAATAGTGGACAGAGGCAGGCTGAATAAGGGGTTGTTCAAAGGATGTATTGAACGATGGCCATCAAAGCACGCAAGTGTGTTGGAGATGTACACATTGGGCAGAACTTCAACCAGCAGTGGCGATTAAAATGAATGGCGATTGCATTTTGCTTGTCATGCAATAGATGCAAGTTCACCTTACCAGCACTCTGCTGTTGATGCACATGGCGAGGGGAAGCCACTGGAACACTTCACTGAAGAAGTCGAACATCTGAGCTGTGTACTTGGCCTTCACCTCCCCTTCGAAGCCGTACATCTGGTTCATGTTGTCCGTCTCATGATTACCTACAGCGTTGAGCGCAAGCATAGGTAACAATTCACCACGGATTAAGAGTGTTTTTTTAATGAGATTTTTACCTCCCTTAGCTGCATTGGAAAAAAAAACTGTTATTTCTGACCAGCTAGAATATATCTATCCCAGCCAGCAAGATTGCTGTTTAACACCCAAGAATATACGAGCATGCATAAAATAAAAATTCTCTCCTTTCCTGAATTTAGCAATAATTGCATTTACTTCAATTGTTTTACCTTAATACATGATAGTAGGAGTATAATAAGAAGCAAATGGATGCAAAGAGTGAAATCTAGGCGAATTAAATTAAACCACTGCAATTAAAGTTAAAATACTATTTTTCACGCAAAGGTAATTCATGTTTATGATTGAAAAATGCCAATAACTTTATTGAATGTAAACATGGAAAGATTGCATTTGCAGGAGGTGAAAAAGTTCAAGGAAAAAAACAACCACATTGATCATTACACTGGCTTCTATCGATTAGTTCACATACGGCTGTGTCAATGATGGATGTGGGGAGATGTTTTACATTTGTGATTGCACTGAACGCAGAAGTTAAACAAAATTTAAGAACATGAGAATGAAATAACAGTTTTAGATGCGATACCTTAAAAATAAATAAAATGTCAGTTCTTTAAAACCGAAGATTGTCTTAAATTAAAATACTATACGGTACTGAGATAGTATGCGAGACTGATGAGAACAATGTGCAAGCAATACGAGTCTCAAAAACATATGTTGGAGTCGTGTAACAAGAAAAAAACCCTGCCAGGGTTTAGAGCTGAGATCCTTGGTTCATAGTTAGTGCGCCATGTGATGCATTTTTAAATCATGTAGACCACCACCATTAAAGCAAATCTTAAACAAGAGCACATTTCATACAACCACCATTTCATATAGCCACCATACAACCACCAATTCATACAACTGTAATAAAGGACACTGTGACAGGTTGTCGCTCTCCGTTGTCCTTTATTGGGTTCTCTCTCGCACCTGCTGGTCCTCGCTCCGACCCTCGCCGCGCGCCCCGTGCACGCTCCGTGTGGCACCCTCTCCGTCCTTCTCTGTGCGCCCCGCGCACGCTCCGTGTGGCCCTCGCCGCGCCGTCACCTCCGGCCCCTACTTGTGCTCTCTCCTCATCCTGCTCTTGCCACACCGTCCTTCGGGTCCCCCACACCCGCTCAGGCTCTCTTATCCTTTCCGTGCCTGCGCACGCTAGACTCCAGGGCCCCTCGGCCCCGACCACGTGGCAATGGCGCCACTTCTCCTGTTCCCACCAGCGTGGCTCCCCTCTGTGGTTCACTCTCTTCCCCCTCTAGCTCCTCCTCCGTCTCTCTCTTATATCCCCCCCTCTCACGTGACCCAACTCCACCTCCTCCTCCTGCCCTTGTCTCCGCCCCCACTCACCCCGGCGACCAGGCTCCGCCTCTGTGATACACCGGCCCGTGTGAGTGGTGCTGAGGCAGCGCCCACCCTGTCCTTGCTCGCATTAGACTACCCCCCCCCCCCCCGATGAAAAAGCCAGCCGACCTCGGCTGCAACAGAACAACAAGAATGTGAGCAACACATGACACACCGGCATAAGAACGGAGAGAAGAACAACAACAATTAACGAAAAGGAAGAGATTTCGAACGCGTGCGAGTCGCCGGCCCGTCCTGCACGGGGGTGCTCCCCCGTGCGGACCGTGGCCTTGACGGGGTTTTAGGAGCGGCGGGACCGGAATCACCCGCCGCTGTCGGAGGACCGTCACTCCCAGCGTTAATTTCCCCAAAGGGGCCCGTCATCGAGCCCTCCTGCAACTGCGCCCGAGGTGGGGTTGTAGGGGCAGCGGGGTCAAGTGTCCCAGTCGCCGTGGTAGGCCCACCCGGAGCAGAAATCACCATGTCCGGCAGGATCACCGCCGGTCTGTCTACAGGAGGCAGGTCAGGCGCGCTTGCAGGTTGAACAGGCAAAGTCAGTGGCGCGTCAGTCGCGACAGACACCGGCAAGGCAACATTAGGAGATGACGCAGCCGTCTGTGGGGCTACATAGGGTTTCAATCGGGAAGTATGCACGTACCAACGCCGCGACCCGAACCGAACGCGCGCGGATTGTGAATTAGGAATCTTAATAAGCACCACCGGCCCTTGCCACGGCCTATGCAACTTAGGGGAGGTCCCCACTGGAACCTGCGGGCAGTGCAGCCAGGCCATGTCCCCCACCCGCCAGGGGGACTCACCATGCGACCGTCGTGCTAAACGTTCGTTCCAGGCCTGGGTCTTGGCAGTAGCCAATCGGGCCCCCTCCCGCGCCTCCTTCACGCGATGGACGGTGTCCCGAATATAATCGGGAAGAGGCCTAACAGGACCCTTCACCCACGAGCCCAGCTGCAGGTCCACCGGCGGCACGTTCTCGCGGCCGTACATCAAAGAGAAAGGCGAGTACCCCGTCGACGCATGCGGCGTCATCCGGTACGTGGAGAGAACCCCTGGGATATGCAAATCTCAATCAGCTTGCTTTTCGCTAACCATATGACAGAGCATCGCCGACAGGGTCCAATTAAGACGTTCAACCATCCCATCCGTCTGCGGATGGTAGGGAGACGTCCGTACCTTCTTGGTCCCCAGTGCAGCGCACACCTCAGCCAATAATTTAGAAGAAAAATTTCGACCTTGGTCCGTAAGCAACCTTTCCGGTGCCCCTTTGTCCATCACATATCCAAACAGGAATGCCTCCGTGATAGACGCCGCTGACTGATCGGCTAAGGGCCAGGCCATCGGCCAGCGGGAAAGATATTCCACTCCCGACCAATAAAAATTTGTTACCCCGAGCGGATGGTGGAAAGGGCCCCAAAATATCCAAGGCCACCAATTCATTAATCCGTGACACCTGTATGGACTGCACTGGCGGAACATATGGGTGTTTAGGCGGCTTCCGCCGGGCACAGTCGGAAGACGCCCGAATGTGCCCGACGACATCAGTCGTCATGCCGTGCCAAAAGTAATCCCGCTGTAACGTCAACAAGGTTTTCTGCACTCCGAGATGTAACAACTTCTCGGAATGCAGAATCCGAATCAATTCATGTCGCAGCGACACTGGCACAACAAGCCGCCAGCGATCGTGCAAGCCTTCCCTCCACATGAGCAAGCCATCCCGGAGAGCAGCTCCCGGCGCCCCATCGGACAGCGGGCCACCCCTTACCTTCGCGGCCCGACTCCGCAAAGCCCCCAGCGAGTCGTCAAGCAATTGTTCGCGAACCCATACGGAACGTGGCAAATTCAAAACCCCATCAGCCGGCTCTGGACACGCGGGAGCCTCAGGCACCTCCACCGCGGACATAACTGCCCGAAGTTCCCGCGGAACCCGCGTGCACCTATTCGTGCCCTAAGTACAAGCGCATGGGAGCCCCTGCGGCAATCTAGAAAGCGCGTCCGCGTTCGCGTGATGCGATCCCTTCCGGTACTGAATTTCGAATGAAAACTCCTGCAGGGTTTCCAACCATTGTGCCAATTGGCCAGACGGTTGATCAACCCTCAGGGCATATTGCAGAGCAGCATGATCCGTGCGCACAATAAACGTACGGCCGTATAGATACGGCCGGTATTGACGAAGAAAATGTACTATGGCCAAGAGTTCCCGACGAGTAACGCAGTAGCGGGTCTCCGCCGGAGACAGCACGCGGCTTCCATAAGCCACTACGCGTTCGACGTCGTCCCTAGATTGGGACAGGACGGCCCTAATCCCCGTGTCACTCGCGTCGGTATCCAGGATAAATGGCCGAGTAAAATCCGGATAGTCCAGCGTCGGTGCCGATGCCAACCGATCGCGCAGGCTCTGAAATGCCGCCTCCTCCGCCGATCCCCAACTGAACCTCTGGCCCTTCGCCATATAGAGGTGTAAGGGCCTCGCGATCGTGGCACAGTCCGGCACGAACCTGCGGTAATAAGAAGCGAACCCGACGAACCGACGGACGTCCCCCACTGAGGCCGGAGTCGGCCAGTTCCGGACGCACGCCGTCTTCCCTGGGTCAGTGGCCACCCCGTCCGAGCTGACTATGTGGCCCAAATAGCGTACAGATCGCTGCAACAGGTGACACTTTATAGGCTTAAATTTCAAATTAGCGGAACGCATCCTCGCGAACACCACGTCCAATCTCCGCAGATGTTCCTCAAACGTGCGGCTGAAGACGATAACATCGTCCAAATATATCAGACACGTTTCCCACTGCAGACCGGTCAACACGAGTTCCATCAATCGCTGGAACGTCGCCGGGGCGGCGTTCAAGCCCATGGGGAGACAATTAAATTGAAACAAGCCCTGCGGCGTACGGAAAGCCGTCTTTTCCCTCGAGGACTTGTCCAGGGGAAGTTGCCAAAATCTCGATGAAAGATCGAGAATAGAAAAAATGTTTGCCCTGGACAAGGCATCGAGGGAATCATCCATACGCGGCAGGGGGTACGCATCCGCAACCGAGACTTTATTTAACCTGCGAAAATCGACACAAAACCGCTATTTCCCATCCTTTTTCTTCACTAGTACCACCGGCGCGCCCCACAGACTGTTGGATGGGGAAATAATATCGGCGACGAGCATATCCTCCACCGCGCCCCGTATATGATCCCGCTCCGACGGACTCAATCGATGCGGGTTCATCCGAATCGGAGCGGCATCCCCCGTATCAATATGGTGGGAGAGCAGAGAAGTGCGTCCCAAATCGAAATCGTCCGAACTAAACAATGCCCAAAGCGCGGACCGTTGGTCGCCAGTTAAGGACGCATTTTCCCGGCACAATTCCGCAATCCAGCGGTCGTCCTGTGCCGTGATGGTCGAGACCCCCCCTACGAGGCCCCGGGGGCCCCCCTCGACATGGGCCGTGAAGGCAGTCGTAGCATGAGCTAAAACCGTTCCGGCCGGCACACAAACATTATCTGCGGTCCCATTCAACACTTGTAAAAACGGGGGTTGACCCTTCCGAACAATCGTCTGCGCCCCGACCAGCGCCAAACCCCCCGCTATAGCATTGGACGGCGACAACAACACACCTTCCGCCCCGTCGATTCCCGGCACCGGTTTCCGATAACGCAGCAGAATAAGCATTTGCGATCCAGGTAGAACATCAACCGATATGTCGGAGAGCGCCTGCACCTGGCGGTCAGGAACGGACTGGCCCCAAGGTGATGGCAAGAAGGCAATTTGGCGGCCCCCCGGTAATTGGATGCAATTCTGATCAACCCTAATCTGAATGGGCATTTTCACCAGGAAATCCGTTCTCAACAAGCAGGGCACAGCGAGGGACCTAGAAATCAACACCGTCCCAGAGACCGACACACCCCCAACAGTAATGCTGGCTTCCACCTGACCCACAATGCCCATACTTCCCCCATTCGCTGCTATGCACAAGTCGTAAACCGGTCGCACCCGCTCCGGAGGAATGGACAGGAGGTGAAATATAACGTCCGAGATAATGGTCGCGGACGCACCCGAGTCCACCAAAATACGCACGCCCACCCCTTGGATGGAACCCGGCACAGTGGATGACCCGGTAGCGGCCGCAACCACCCTCCGTGCTAATTTACGCCACTGCGTCAGCGAGCGACGCGGCCCTTCTAGCGTTCCCTCGTTAGCAACATTATCCATACCCCGCGGCGAAAGTGATGCATGAGCTGATAGGCCTTGCCGGGTGTCTGATGCGTACCGACTTGCCTGTCGTGGTTGTTCTTGACGCGGCGCCTCCTTGGCAGGGGCCTCCTGCTGGAGCGGCGGATGAGGGCGAGCCCAACATTCCCTGGCGAAGTGCCCCCGACGACCACAGCGGAAGCACAACAGGTCGGGCCGTCGTCTGGCGCCCCCCCTGTCCTGGCGATCTCGCAACGGTGGCCCCGGCCCCAACTCCGCACCCCCCCGAGTAGGCGTCTGGGTCGTGGCTGCCGTCAACTCCGCAGGCCGCCTCTCATCCGGCACGTACACGGCCTTGGACGGGTCCCATCCCGTGGCACCGCCCTCGATCTTGGGGCTCCCCGTCCAGGCTGTGACTTGCTTCCACCGACGCAGGTTAAATTGCGCGTCCAGGCACTTCGCCGCAATCCGGGAGGTCAGTTGTTTGTGGCCGCACACAGGCATGGGAATGCCCAAATCCCTGGACAACTCCAACATTTTTCCTAAAATCAAAGGCTCTAGCAAGTCAGGCTCCGTGTCCGGGTATGCGGCCATAGCCAAATCCAAGATGGCACCACGGTAAGCCACGGGAGATTCCTCCGGAGCCCGCTGCCGTTGAATAAACCTGCGATGAGCATCGTCGGGGGGCTCATACGCTTCTGCCATTTCTTCAAATACATCCTTCAGCGTATTCTCTCTTGCGGCTTTAATGGAACGGTAAAAACCTGACCGATTCGTCATCCAGAAGCGTCGGAAGAACTTCTAGAGCCTCCGCATCCGTCCATTTTGCTGAGCGGACTGCGGCCTCAAAGCGTCAGGCGAACGCACTCCAGTCGCCGCCAATGGAAAATTCCTTGAGCGTCGTCAGCCGATGGCTGCGGGTCCCCGAGTCGCCATAATCCGCCGACGGTGTTTGACGCGGTGGCGACACGATAGCATCTTCCCGCATAGCCAAGATAGCGGCCTCCCGTGGAGACAAGATGGCGGCTTCCCACGGTGACAAGATGGCGGCTTCCCGCGCTTCGGCCCCGGGCCCGCCCAAGATGGCGGCGTCCTGCCGCGTGGCGGAGAGGGCGGGAAGCATCGCGTGGGCCCCAATGGCGGATGGCTCTCCGCTCGGGCGATCCGGCCTCGCCACCGTCGTCACCAGGGCGCACAGTTGTGTCAGCGTGGCCCGCAGCAACTCAAGTTGAGCCGTCACGTGCCGCCAACCTTCATCAGCGCTCGCTGAAACAGACGGCCCCGCCGCGCCGACGATGTCTTGCACCCCCGGCGTGTCGCCCGTCCGCACTTCGCCCCCCTCCTTCCATCGTCGGGAACGCCGCCTCAATCGGAAGCTCGTCTTCGTCGTCCGAGGATGGTGCAGGTAAGTTCTTCTTCTTAAGATGCTTAGACATCTTGGTTCACTTCTGACACCAGTGTAATAAAGGACACTGACAGGTTGTCGCTCTCCGTTGTCCTTTATTGGGTTCTCTCTCGCACCCGCTGGTCCTCGCTCCGACCCTCGCCGCGCGTCCCGCGCACGCTCCGTGTGGCACCCTCTCCGTCCTTCTCCTTGCGCCCCGCGCACGCTCCGTGTGGCCCTCGCCACGCCGTCACCTCCGGCCCCTCCTTGTGCTCTCTCCTCACCCTGCTCTTGCCACACCGTCCTTCAGGTCCCACACACCCACTTCGGCTCTCTTATCCCTTCCGTGCCCCTCGCACGCTCCGTGCCTGCGCACGCTAGACTCCAGGGCCCCTCTGTCCTGACCACGTGGCAATGGCGCCACTTCTCCTGTTCCCACCAGCGTGGCTCCCCTCTGTGGTTCACTCTCTTCCCCCTCTAGCTCCTCCGTCTCCCTCTTATATCATCATCAGAGTTGTTTCTTTTTGTTTGCATTTTGACTGCTTGTGTTGTGGTTATTGCAAACATGATGCCTTGTATAAAGGTGTCAGTTTTTGTACCAGTTGAAAGGGTAAAAACCTATCACTATATTTTGCCACTGGTAAAGGAGATGTCTCATAATGAACATGTGGCTTTAGGGTTATCTCACCTCGCATTAAATGGAAGTGGTCTGGGTAGAGAAGCTTGAATCCGAACAGGACGAGTATAACTTCCACCGACCAGGAGCCTCTGTCGACGAAATCGCCATTGAATACCTGCGGTTGCTCTGTTTAAGGAATCTAAGGAGTCCATTCTTGACTTTGATCATTTGTTGGGAAGAAAAAACATGTTGCAAAATACACTTGTTTTTTTTTTATTAAGTTGCTGTAAGTACGTAAAATGAAGTTGATCTGTTTAACAGTAACATAGTATAATTCTCGAGTAAAAAAAAAACACCCATCCATGCGATGATTAGTATTTTGGGAGCAAACAATGTGCATGCATTGTTGATGAATGTAATTCAAATTAAACACTCAATATGTATTCTATTCTATTTAGGATTTAGATAGCGCCCTTTCCAGGGCAAGAGCAGAATTAGATGGTTCAGGTGGTTTTTTTTTTAAAATCGCCTCAGGAAATGATCTTGAAGCCCCGTGATTGAGTGCAATGGCCCAATAATGTACAATTAAGTTCCATTGTTTACTACACGGGAGTGTGGCATGGTTTAACTTTAGATTAAGATGTTTCCGGTGGGCTTTTTCACACGAGTGGGTCTTCTTGAATACAGACGACCACTGGTTAACCGCATTTCTGTTCACCACATACGCAGTCCGCCATAAATCATGACCCTATTCAAACATGTTAAAATTTCCCTGATACCATTTCCCACACTCCCTACTCGTGTGGCACTGCAATTGTGGCACAATCCCCAGCTTGCACTTGCAAAGCCGATTTTTGTTCTGTATCTAGACAACTCCCTCCACTCAGTTACCCATCACTTGCAGCCTCTCTCCTCGTTTCCTCCTCACACCGGTGCCTCCTCCCTCATCATGTTTAAACTTCACTTTGTTTAACCAGTTGAGAACTAAAGAGATCAGGATATAAATTTGCAAGAGTGACTCTAGGTCACCAAAAATAAGAACAGAAAAACTTACAAAAACAATCATCGCAGGGTTTGGAACCGCATGCGGCTCTTTAAGGACCGCTTCATGACGTTATTTATTAAGGGCCACCGTCTTGTGTTCACCACACAGTGCATTGCGGCTCTTGTTATTTTGGTTGCCGACCTCTGAACTATTAGGAATTAGGAGATGAAACCATTTTTTTTATACACTTGATAAAGTCAATTTAGCTGTGACGGTCCCACCTGAAGACGGAGACTTGTGTTGCCTCCGAAACGTCGTGAATTATTATTATTTTATTTTAATATAATTTTTTACCTACGTGACTTTACCGAAAAAACCTAAGAGTATGAATCCTTGCAGTCACAAAAGCTTCAAATCTAGAAATAACTCCCCACTGTGCTCACCAGCTCAGACAGATTACCGTGTTTACTTTGACCGATGACAACTTTGATCGTGCTGTTTGTTGCTGGCTGCTTAATGTCTTGGGCCTTTGAGCCTGGGGTCAGCAAACAGTGTTTAAAAAAAGACGTGATTGTGGACATGGCTCATGCTTTTTAAAGTTCAACAGAAAATGACGAATTGCTTTGTCATCCAAAAACATCAGTAAAAAAGTGTCACGTTGACACAAGACAATTAGTTCACTGCTTTAGCCCACCTGTGTGTTGAAGCGTGAAACCACAACAATTTACAATTTGAGTACGACGTTTCGCTGGTAATTGCATCCAGCATCATCGGGCAATTCGCCAGAATGGTGAGGCTCTGCTGTGTCTCCCGTTCTTATATAGAGCAGCAGCAGGGTGACGTCATCATTAACTCATTAATTCGTCAGGTGCAAAGATTTGAGGGGGGGGGTTATTGTAATTATATACTAGATTAGTAATCAGGCTATTGTTACGATGCGAGTTGTAGATTAGTAATCATTTGGAATGTGTTTTATTGTGATTATGCAACATTAGTAATCAGTTAGTGTTTGTTTCCCTTATAAGGAATTGTAATATATCTTATTTAATAATACGCTTCCAGGCCGCACTAAGCCTGTAGCTGTCTGAGCGATTAAAGTTATTTCTGTTTCTCTTAATTTCAATGGATTCTCTAATTAGTCTTTGCCAGTAGTAACTAGTTTTACACAACACTTCAACGTTGTCAAAATCAATTGAGTGTCCCTGTTGGCATGCATGTTCTGCCACTGCCGACAGTTGTGTTTGCGATAGTTTGATATTTCTCTGGTGTTCTTTTAGTCTTACACTAACGTTACGCCCTGTCTGTCCAATATAGCATCTGCCACATACACAATTAATCCGATATACACCTTCTGTTGATAATTTAGGTAATTCGTCTTTAGTGCACGTTACTAGTTGTTGAATTTTTTTATTAAATAAGATATATTACAATTCCTTATAAGGGAAACAAACACTAACTGATTACTAATGTTGCACAATCACAATAAAACACATTCCAAATGATTACTAATCTACAACTCGCATCGTAACAATAGCCTGATCACTAATCTAGTATATAATTACAATAACCCCCCCCCCTTCAAATCGTTGCACCTAATGAGTTAATGAGTTAATGATGACGTCACCCTGCTGCTCCTCTATATAAGAACGGGAGACACAGCAGAGCCTCACCATTCTGGCGAATTGCCCGATGATGCTGGATGCAATTACCAGCGAAACGTCGTACTCAAATTGTAAATTGTTGTGGTTTCACGCTTCAACACACCGGTGGGCTAAAGCAGTGAACGAATTGTCTTTTGTCAACGTGACACTTTTTTACTGATTGGCCGTGTCGGGTGGTGGAGGGTTACAACACATTTATAAATAACGCGATCTAAACCCAAAAACGTTGATTATGAATAATATTGGTCGCGAAAGCCTACGTGTTAAATCTACAACATTGTTACCGCAATTTATTGTCATAATGCCACACAGCGAAAAACAGAAATACTCCAAAAGCATGCGTCAAGGATACGTAAGGATTTGTTTCAGATGGGAGCCCATTGAGCTCAAAAATGTGTAGTAGGTCAAAATATTGACCATGAATATCTCCACAGACGGTAATCATGTCACCCTGTTCCAGAAAGAGACAAGTTATTCAAACATGATTACAAAACAAGCCAAGTGAGCCAAGTGGTAATTCAGACATTACTATGATGGTGTTGTGATTGGTGTCTAAACATATGAACATCACCGATGATGCTGGTTCAATAACGTTAATGACGAAACGTGTCAGCTTTTTTGTTGTAATTTATGATCATCCACACATACCTGAACATGTTTAGGTAAGCTGTCCACTCTCGGCTGCAATTTCATTCACTGCACTGGCACAACTTAACGTAATCACATCACCACTTTACAGTAAACGTAGTGCTATGGAAATTCCTCACATTGCCCAGCAGCTGGGGGTGATTCAACTGTTCGTTGAACTAAAATAGTTTGAGTGTGAACTGCATTCATAAACGCATATCGAACCACCCCGAACATATGCTTATACCCTTAAGAGAGACAATACTCATAACACTTTCATAACTGCCATAAATTACTGCTTTTCTGCGAACTAAACATTTTTATATAAATAGCAAAAATAATTGACAATTTTAAACATGTCAGAAAGACGAAGCAAATGTTTATTTGTGCACAATTTACTAAATGTACCGGTCTCCTAATGTGTAATTTCAATGTGTGATTTTGTACCAATATTTAAAGCATCTATTTCTTCCTGCCAAGTCACCCATGAGTTTAATATCAGTTTCAGTCTAAAAAATGTTTTCCTTGATTTCATTGCAGTTATCACCAATTTTACCCTAAATATTTTATAGCTACCTATCGATGCAGAGGGCAGCAGTTAAAAAATTGTAAAAAAAATGGCATAGTTCATTTTAGGATACCTAAAATAAATTAAACTCACACGTTTCTCCCACAAACCCATTTAGGCATTGCATTTTTTGGGGGAATCTCAGGACAAATCAGAACACTGACATAAATAAACAAACATTTTGACTACTTCTAGATTTGAATCTTTCGTGACTGCAAGGATTCATACTGTTAGGTTTTTTCGGTAAAGTCACGTAGGTAGAAAAATAAAAAATAATAGAAGTATTAATAAAAATAAAATAATAAATCACAACGTTTCAGAGGCAACGTAAGTCTCTTGATACAGTAAATTGATACAGTAAATTTAGCTGTGACGGTCCCACCTGATGACGGATACTTGTGTTGCCTCCGAAACGCCGTGATTTATTATTTTATTTCAATTATTACTTCTATTATTTTCATTATTTATTTTAATTTTTCTACCTACGTGATTTTACCGAAAAAACCTAAGAGTATTTTGACTACTGCTAAAGGCAAACTAAAATCCCCAACTAGGTATAGATTATGCTTCTTATAACACAAGATGGTGCTAGTAGATAACGTCTGAGAATATTACAGGGTGAAATCTGGATAATTGTTTTATCATAGCTTTCTGGCGAATCACGGAGCCCATTGAGATGCACCAGATATGATCACTGTGCTTGGTGTACATAACTCGCTCGACTCAATTCACAATACTCAACTGAATATTTGTATTTAAAGCTTTTGTGACTGCAGGGATTCACATTCTTGGTTCTATCGGTAAAGTCTTTACCGAAAGAACCAAGAATATGAATATTGTAGTAAAATAAAAAAATCTTTGATTAGACATTTTTGTAAATTAAGTGCCCTTTTATGCTGAGCTAAGGAGCAGGTTAATATGTTGGATTCCATTACAGCATGTGCTCTGCTGCAAGCAAATGGTACCCACAAATGTGAGCAAATAGGGGAAACAAAACTTACATCTTTGATTGTCACCTCCACCAGACTGGGTAACTTCTGAAGACTTTTCTTGACCTGGAGGAGGATCTATGGAAGTAAACACAAACCAAATATAAACCAATGCACATGCGGCACTAGACGTTGTTGTATATGTTTGCAAATTTCTCTACGTGGCTTTGATGTCCGTATTAATTAAACATCCATGTTGGAAAAGGCACAATGTGTTTACATTTGGTGTTTGGCAAATGCTTATATTTGAAATGTGATGTAATGTTATTTTTTTTATTTCCATACTTAAATTTAATTTTAATTTAATTTAATCGAATATACATTTTCATACATTGCATTATTTGCATGATGGTACATTGGCATTCACTTATTTATAAATTATAAAACAACAGTAAGGTGGCTGATAATGTGTCATAACACTCTTGTCACTGCAGGCTATTAATAAAGGGAAGGTACACCCATCTTGGATGAGTCCTGAGCGCTCAGTCCAAGCGTGGCTAAATGAGGTTAACGTCATCATTAAAGTCAGAGACAGAAAAATCGTTTCAGTATGGATAACCGATTCAACATCCTGACTTCAAGGCCTCAAGTTGTGAGAGAAGAAAGTTTTCCGTTGGGAAGGATAAGCATTTGGAGGGCTCAGGTTCCGCTCAGCGAGCCAGGAGTTTGCTCACAAATGCGTCCACTCCCCTGCGTGGATGTGTAGCATACTCTCTGTACAAACAGTTGCACAGATAAAACGGTATAAATAATAGCAGACTTCCGAAACCGACCTTGTATTTGAATCGCAAAGAGCAATGCAAGGGCTTTTCCTCTGATAACCGAGCGGTCCAAGGCACGCATTCTTGTGTAACGCACGAGCGCGCACACACACACACGAGCGCACACACACACACACGAGGTTGACCACTGGCACTAAAAGAAAAAAATGTTGCTGCTTATCTACAGTGAGGGAAAAAAGTATTTGATCCCCTGCTGATTTTGTACGTTATCCCACTGACAAAGAAATGATTAGTCTATAATTTTAATGGTAGGTTTATTTGAACAGTGAGAGACAGAATAACATCAACAAAATCCAGAAAAACGCATGTCAAAAATGTTATAAATTGATTTGCATTTTTATGAGGGAAATAAGTATTTGACCCCTCTGCAAAACATGACTTAGTACTTGGTGGAAAACCCCTTGTTGGCAATCACAGAGGTCAGACGTTTCTTGTAGTTGGCCACCAGGTTTGCACACATCTCAGGAGGGATTTTGTCCCACTCCTCTTTGCAGATCTTCTCCAAGTCATTAAGGTTTCAAGGCTGACGTTTGGCAACTAGAACTTTCAGCTCCCTCCACAGATTTTCTATGGGATTAAGGTTTGGAGACTGGCTAGGCCACTCCAGGACCTTAATGTGCTTCTTCTTGAGCCACTCCTTTGTTGCCTTGGCCGTGTGTTTTGGGTCATTGTCATGCTGGAATACCCATCCACGACCCATTTTCAATCCCTTGGCTGAGGGAAGGAGGTTCTCACTCAATATTTGACGGTACATGGCCCCGTCCATCGTCCCTTTGATGCGGTGAAGTTGTCCTGTCCCCTTAGAATAAAAACACCCCCAAAGCATAATGTTTCTACCTCCATGTTTGACGGTGGGGATGGTGTTCTTAGGGTCATAGGCAGCATTCCTCCTCCTCCAAACACGGCGAGTTGAGTTGATGCCAAAGAGCTCCATTTTGGTCTCATCTGACCACAACACTTTCCCCAGTTGTCCTCTGAATCATTCAGATGTTCATCGGCAAACTTCAGACGGGCATGTATATGTGCTTTCTTGAGCAGGGGGACCTTGCGGGCGCTGCAGGATTTCAGTCCTTCACGGTGTAGTGTGTTACCAACTGTTTTCTTGGTGACTATGGTCCCAGCTGCCTTGAGATCATTGACAAGATCCTCCCGGGTAGTTCTGGGCTGATTCTTCACCGTTCTCATGATCATTGCAACTCCACGGGGTGAGATCTTGCATGGAGCCCCAAGCCGAGGAAGATTGACAGTTCCTTTGTGTTTCTTCCAATTGCGAATAATCGCACCAACTGTTGTCACCTTCACTATGGGAACCTCATTTGCCAGTAAAAATATGATAATTGTTTATTTACCCTTCTATCTGGCAACAAAACTGACACTTTTTTACAAGGAGTCATGTTTGCATAGACCGCAATACCTGCAGTCATAATACAAACAAAAGAACATAATTCTGATAATGTGCACTGTCCTTGAAGTTGATTGGTCCACACCCGAGACAGCTTTCTTTAGAGCCTAGTCTCACATGGGTTGGACCAGATGACGCCAAAGTCGCACAACTCAAAGACAATGCACCTTCAGAGTATGAGAGCTCGGGGCAAGCATCCACACTATGGGAACCTCATTTGCCAGTAAAAATATGATAATTGGTTTTTTACCCTTCTATCTGCCAACAAAACTGACACCTTTTTACAAGGAGTCATGTTTGCATAGACCGCAATACCTGCAGTCATAATACAAACAAAAGAACATAACTCTGAAAATGTGCACTGTCCTTGAAGTTGATTGGTCCACACCCGATACAGCTTTCCTTAGAGCCTAGTCTCACATGGGTTGGACCAGATGTAGATGCTTGCCCCGAGCTCTCATACTCTGATGGTGCATTGTCTTTGAGTTGTGCACCTTCTCACCAAGCTGCTTGGCGATGGTCTTGTAGCCCATTCCAACCTTGTGTAGGTCTACAATCTTGTCCCTGACATCCTTGGAGAGCTCTTTGGTCTTGGCAATGGTGGAAAGTTTGGAATCTGATTGATTGATTGCTTCTGTGGACAGGTGTCTTTCATATAGGTAACAAGCTGAGATTAGGAGTCCTCCATTTAAGAGTGTGCTCCTAATCTCAGCTCGTTACCTGTATAAAAGACACCTGGGAGCCAGAAATCTTTCTGATTGAGAGGGAGTCAAATACTTATTTCCCTCATAAAAATGCAAATCAATTTATAACATTTTTGACATGCGTTTTTCTGGATGTTTTTTGTTGTTATTCTGTCTCTCACTGTTCAAATAAACCTACCATTAAAATTATAGACTGATAATTTATTTGTCAGTGGGCAAATGTACAAAATCAGCAGGGGATCAAATACCTTTTTCCCTCACTGTACTTGATGCAATATCGTGCAGATGCAGTTTTGTTTTTAACTGCATCACAATGCAAAAACCATAAATCCCACACATTTCTCCAGCATTCATGCGCTTATAGATATTTCGATTATTTTGCTGCTATAAATGTCCAAATGATAAGCCACTTTGTGGAGCTATCATTTGTGGCTAGGTCGCTTTGAAAAACACGTTACTTCGGAGTGGGCAGGTAGGAACTTGGTTGGACAGCGCATTCGTGCACGACAGACAAATAATCCCTGGTGGGCAGTGTGGAAGCTGTTGTTCCTAGCTGTATAAGTGTAAATGTCATAAAGTTATATTTTTTTAAGTGGCAATGTTCAGAACACAACCAATTTGTATATTGCAATTATGATTTGCTAGCTTTTTCTTTATTTCACTTATCTGTTATTTTTCGATTTTAAGCTTTCGTGGCTGCAGGGATTCATATTCTTGGTTCTTTCGGTAAAGTCACGTAGAAGGGAAATAATTTATTTAGTTTACCGACTTGTTGCATTTGTCGGAGAAGCAGCGTTGTTGTTGTTTGTTGATGAAACCCGATTTAAGAGCTTCTTGGCAAACAGGGTACTTCAAACTAAACTGAACCGAACTGAAGCATAGGAGAAGAATGGGCGAGGTGGCTCAGAGTAATGAGCTTGGTATGAATCCAGCCATAGACACGCAATTAAACTAGGTTCTCACATGTAGTCAGTTGTGAGTTGGTCGCAAATACCATACCCTGTATTTTGCACTTCATTTTTGGTTCAATTCCAGGTATGAACATTTAAACTATTGATTTGATAAATATTTATCAATGGCATGGTATGTCAGAATGTGCACCCTACTGTTGTGGATAAAACAATATTTTACTTTTAGAGATTACAACTCTAACACAAAGCGGGTGCATTTCTAGATGTGAGACTTCTGAATGGAAGTCTATTCCTGTCATAATGTCAGGGCAATAGCACAAACGAAATCGAATTGGGGTTGAAAAAGAATTACAATTAATAATAAGGGACGTTTAATTTAGCTTTGCATTGACGTTTACACTTCTTGAAGAAAATGTTGGCAAGACAAAAAAGACAACAAATTAGAATGCCATCTACCCACAAACTTGTTCATTTTGAAACGGTCATTCCTCTCTATTATTGTTCACAAATGTTTTCCTGATACAAAGGATCAATCAGTGTTCTGCCTGAATTAGCTCAATATTTTTACGATAAAATCGACATTTAGGGGGGCAAAGGGGCCAATTTTGGAAGAGGTAGAATACATTGTTTAAATGCATGCCTATACAGGTCACCATACTTCAATAGGGATTACCTTTGGTACGGCTATTTTAGTACACACAATCGACATGATGTACAAGTAAAATGTGCTTGCATAAATAATGTACATGGATAATGTATGTTGATTACCATATAAATAACCCAACCGCCAATAGATACCCACGCAAATAGCGCGCACAAGTGATGCCATCACACCTACCCCTCTAAGGAACAAAAAGGGAGGATTTCTCCACAATTCTGGCTGTCGCCTGATGAATCTAGTTGTAATTACTGGCGAAACAACATGCTCAAGATTGTAAATGTTGTGGCTTTTGCTCTCCAACACACGTGTGCTGTACTAGTAACGAATTGGCACATTCTGTTCATGAGACAAACCTTACTGATTGGCTGTATTGGGTGGTGGCGGGTTTAACGACACATTTATATATTTACGCATCTAAACAAAAAATACCTGTATTATGGATATTGGTCGCGAAAGCCTACGTGTTAAACATACAATGGGACGTTATTGTAATGTACCGGTGGTGCCTTGGTGAGCAGTCGTTTACCTGATAGGCATATTTCCTGTGCAGTTTTTTCTGATCCTTGAACCATTCAATGAGCTCCTTCATGAACGTGACCGTCACTTGGCCATTATCCACCTTCGGTCCGGTGTAGTCATCCTCAATGGCTGAAATGAAACCCATGGGGCAAAACACATTTACGACTCATTTCACCATGCAAGTTTCATTTGCTTACATTTCCATGGAATTGGCAATGTGACTGCAAGTCGTGCGTTAGGAATGTGCGTTATCTTCAACAAATTAACTTTACAGCAGACGATACCTCTTTGGCAATTCCTCAAACCAATATATAAGACGCTGCCGAACTTAAAACGGTCAACTCATTGACTGCGTGGTCCGAACAGGCTTTTAACCTGCTTAGAAAAAAATACATTTACTAGAAACGTTAATTGCCTTAATCCGTAAGCTCAAGAGAGATGCTGTCTGTCTACATCACTCAAGAGCTGTGGTTGAATGACTCTTAAGCCGTAAGACTTTTCTGCGGCAAAGCTTACCCATGCTATCCAGGTCCAAGGCATCGGCCACAGACTTTTTGCTGTCGTCGCTCGCGATGGCGCGCTCAAACGCCTTGCGCTTCACGATCTTGCTGCACTCCTGGTACTTGAGCTTGGCGTCCTTGTCGTTGGGTCTTACTTTCACCACCTGAACAGGCGATTCAATTAAGAAATGAAAGGAGTGCGATTCAAAGGAACACATTTTTTTTGGAATCGTTTCATAAATTATTAAAGCGATCCACGTAGGGAAAATCCCTGAAGGTGGAAGATTTCGTTTTCGAATGACATACTTCGATAGTTCTCAGTGACACTGGTGGAACAATCAACCGCACCAGAACATCAACAGGCCGATAAGCACATCTACTGCATGAATGTAAATTAAAAACAAGCCACAGTTGTGCGATTGTGCCCATGCAATGCAAACTATGGGCCATACAGTAAACCACTAGACTGCACTCCTTCAAATGCAGCAACAAAACTTCACCAACTCTCCTGAAGCCCTCTCGTAGCTAGCAGACCTCGCCATTGCCATTTAGCTCCAGAATATACTGCCACACGCAAGAATAGAATTGACACAAACACAGCAAACGTATGACATGTAAAAAACAATTTCAAAGTATATACTTATGAATGGCATAGCTTTGTGCTATCAGGGAATCTGGGAATAAGACAAGGCCAAGAGTAGCTTTAAAAAATATAACTCTCGTCCCTCTTTATTTCTACTTTATTTAGCCTTAATCAGATACTAAGGGAACCTGAAAATAAAATAACTCGAAGGGGAAAAAAACATGCATAGAAAACTTGGAGTAAACTACCAACAGTTTTAAAAGTAATCCATGGAATGAAAATTTTTAAAAAATTCTCACAAAAAATATAAAGCAAAAAAGTACTATAAATGTACAAAATCTGAAGCAACTTAATCAAACCGAAAATTAATAAAATGGGGCGTATCAAATTCTAAACAATTAAAATAATTATATGCATTTCTACCAAATTACATTACAAAAACAACAATGATCTACAAAGGAATAAAAAACAAATGATGCTACAAATGTCTTCAATACAACTGCAAGTAATTGCCCTTGGGATAGTGACAATAAAGGATTGATCTTACTTACATCACAAGGTCTGTCTGAACTGTCATAATTCAATAGATGTGAAGGCAATTGTGTAAATATTGTGTACTAAGACCAATGATAATGCTCCCTGGTCTGTGTACACATCACTCTTGTCTAACAGTATGCCAGTGTAACATGGTTTTGTACTGATACTATATAAAATCAAACTAATATAAAGAATATCCAATAAATAAAAACGTGTTTACCTCCCTTGTATATTAAAAATGTATGTTTGTTACAACTCTACTTGTTTTACCCAGGTCGCTATGAAAATATAAACTTTCGGTTTCAGTGTGGTCTATTCTGGTTCATAAAGGTCATCCCATCTGGTAATAAAGGTCATCTGGTTATGAAGATCATCGTTTTTTGACAAACAGTAGGGAGGGTTTCACGCCAACTCGTTGGTAATTTAGTCGTTTAATTACAACTGTTTGCAAATACAGTTTTCATCGTTCAGCTCTCAAATAGTATTTATAAATATTTCCCATCCAATGGAGATTGCTGGGAGCTAAATAAAGATGGTGAGCTGACAAATATCCAGTGACTCCTTTGTATGCTCATGGAAGTAGTAATAACATATCTCCTTCTGAAGAAGATAATTATGTAAAAAATATGACCTCTCAGTTCAGCGGACATTCCAGTATAATTGTAGGGCCATTTCAAAACCCAAAAAAGGCGGAGGGCAGCACCAATTATTCCAAGTAGATGCCTATAACAGCCCCACGGCCTGATAAAAGTATCACCATACCTATTTAAGATGTGATTTTACAATTGATTTGCAGGTTTAAATGCAAAACTACAGGTGGTAGAATGCAGATAAATGGTAAATTGTGACAGTCCCATGGTCTAAAAGGTTGTTCAAGATTGCTTCTAAATAAATCGATTTGCATGAATAGCAACTTGCTTGATATGTGGCCAACAAACTTAAACCATGAAATATTTTACGAGCAATAACACGGCAACTACCAATTATAATTTTCCCCGAGTCACATCAAATGACTTTTGGCAATCTGGATTTAATTCCCAGTTTCCACAAACTATTCACCAAGTAAACATCTGGGTTCTAATTATCACAGAGCACCAACACCGAATAAGGCAAATGAGAATCTGGGAAAGCACGATAAGACACGGGCGGGCAAACGGTAAATGGAACGGTGCAAAAAGAGCGAGAGTGCAAACGCAGCCAGGGAATGATAAGTCCAAATTAAATTGGCAGCCCACACAGACAGAAACCCATCTCTGGCACGGTCACAAGCAGGAAGCTCCAAAGGCAACAATACTGCGTGGTTCCTTCGGCAGGGAGTTTGAAAGCACTATTCACAAAAGCCCATAGAAAATCCAACAGAAGATGCTAACGTGAAAGTCAAGGTCATGGCGGCATACCCTGTGTAAAAATGTGTGTAGAATAGTCTTAGCTACTGGCTCCTAATGTGTTCCGTGATTTGTGACTGCAGAGCATATGTTTGATATTGAAACGGCATTACAAGTCACTGGCCTGCTCAGAGAGCTCTCATGTGCCAGGAATCAAGTAATGATCCAGTAGCACAGCGCTCATTTATTCAATTCTAGTGCACTTGGTCACAGAAGACTGCATACATTTAAAGTATACTTTTCCAATTGTGTTTTTTTGTTCTATGTACACAAGTACAGCAAATGGCACACTTTCCTGTACACTTTTGGAATACAGTCGAAAACATGCAGGTGGCATGCAAAGTTGCGTCACTCCTAATGCGGAAAGCTTAACAAAAAAAAGCCTTTGCTCTGCCCCGAGGTCCAACACCACAAAAGTGCAGCGTAGCTCTCAGAGACACTGTCTTGTTCATTTATATGTGAAATGAGTCCAACTCAGTCGCAGACGTTGTCTTGGGAGCAACACGTTTTATATTTAACTCTTAGCACAACATACTCCAGGCTATTAACACAACATACTCTCGGGTGGTGACCACCCGCTAACCACGCTACGGCGAAACTAGACGCGGTTCCACTATCCTGGTCTGGACCACAAGCTGGGTCCCGGACCGTGTGGCTGGAGGCTTCTTTAAGCTTGACGTGGATCTCCTGCCTCTCCAACAGAAAGAACCCCGAGCCCCTCTCAGGGCCCCCCTTATATCGGGCCGGGCTGGGGCTGGCTCCGCCTCTCGCCCCGCCCACCTTCTCGATCTCTTTCGCCCTTGCCCGAAGGCTCTCGAGAGTTCTTCCCGGACCATGTGACCACCCATTGGCCCCCTCCACCGGTGGCCCCCCTCCAGTATCGTTCGGTCACATGTCCCCAGGTCAGTCATAGTATCATGCCCCCAACGTAACCCTAGCTGACACTCTCTCGCTCTCTCAACGGGAGACCACATCGCACGCTGTGCGTGGTGCTACTGCGCTTAACCAGTGCTCCCCCAAGCCCCCACTAGGGCTGGTACTACACCCCGTGTCCGGGGTGTACACACAACAGTATACATCCCGCCGTGGCCTTGCAAGCCCGGCACCACACAGTGGCATTCCCAGTCACTACATGTGTATATTTATTATGAATAAAGTCCGCCGACTCACTGATAACTTAACGAGCAACCGCGTGTGACTATATACACTTGAGTAACTTAGGTAACTCTATTCTGAGACAACATAACGTTAGCCTTCCAAGACTACAAGTTGCCCACTCCAGGATGATGAACACGACCCGCTCCAAGATGACGACGGCGACGGCAGTTCCCCCACAACAGCAGCCCAGAGCCCCGGTTCACGCCGGCTTTTATCCCCTCATGACCCGGGCACGCCCCTATTCCCGAACCCTCTCCTCACCACACCTGGCCCTTTCTGTCTCTGCCCTTATTACAATTTACAACTGTTAGGTCCCGTGCTTCCCCTCACTCAACCCTGTCAACGCTTGTCGCATCAATCATTATTAGCGACCACTTAGGTCCCACATTACCCTAACGTGATCCTGTCTGTTCCCATTACGTTAATTAGTAACCATGGCCACGGGAAGCCGTACTGTCCCTACATCACCCCATACTGTCCTTACAAAAGTCATGTGAATACATGCAAAATGCAGTCCTGCAATTGCTTGCTCACATCACTGTTGACAGAAGGGCTTCCACTGCTAGGCATCTCTGTCCACTCTTCCATGCTGGCCTGACATGTTTGAAGAAGTGGAAGTACCCACACTTTACCCCACCACATGCACTCTGCTGATCGACAAACTGCAGTGCACCCACTTATACTGCTGGGTGGACTGAGGTGGGGGGTGAATGTGCCCCGTTTTTTGAGGTTTAGGTTCATAGAGGACCAGGCCTATCCCAATCCCTCTTGATCAATCCCTCGTTTTCCTGGATCAAAACTACACCACTATTTACAAAAGTCCTAATTCTTAATTTTAAATTATTGTCATGCAACGTACAATTGAATAGTTGCTGTCAAAGGGCCTTGCTAAAAGGCGCTATATAAATCTCATTACGATAAGAAAAGCTGGGTCCATTAGATCAAGGCCGGAGAGCACTTTTAGTTTTCCGAAACCTCAACATAGGATGCCAACCTCGGTCTCACAGGCCCCCCACCCAGCACGGGCCCCCCACCCTCTCACCGTCTCGTAGTCCTTGAGCGCCTCCTTGAACTTGCCCAGTGCCATTTTGGCGGTGGCGCGCCGGTAGTAGCCCTTGATGTACGCCTTGTCAAGCTCAAGAGCGCGCGTCGCGTCTGCGAGCGCATAGCCGTAGCACTCGGTGCGCAGGTACGACAGGCTACGATTGCCATAGTAGATGGCGTTGTCGGCGCACAGTGCGATGGCGTCCGTGTAAAACTTGATGGCGTTGTCGTAGTCCTTCACTGCAAGGGGTATTGGGAAGAGAGGGCACATGGGATGATAATTTTCCACATTATTGTATGGACTCTCAATAATCCACACTTAAGTTGACTGCACTTGAAATCAACTAAAGCATTTTAGGAAATCCCACATTTTAAGAAGGAACAATACGTCTTTACCATGTTACGTGGGTCTTCACAGTTGCGCTGTATTGCTCTTTGACGCAGCATGACCCGAAACACATCGGTGATCCTTTATGTTTGTTCAGTTTACGATGGAAAGGTGGTACACAAAGAGTTCACGAAAGCTGAACATCCCAAGAATGCTGCCATGCATCAGCTGGCCAGTCTCGTGGTCAGCATACTGTCGTGGAATTATGTGTCCAATTCCTGCCACTTTCATGTCATTTTGCTACAAAGTTCACGTATTTTTTTATAAAAAAATTATTTTAAAAAGGTCAGCGTATACCATCTTTGGGTGTCTTCAAGCTTGAACAAATCTGGGTAACGGTCATCCCATTTAGTGGCCCTTTACCAGTGGTGGAAATGCCGATCTCATCACAGGATACGGTCTCTCACGAATAAAACCAATGTTGACTTCCCATAAAGCAGTAATCATTGTATTGTCCATGGAGGAGCAAGATAGCGCCCGATACAAATTTGAACCCGCCATATTGCGATTGTCGATTTGGTCGTCGACCAAACTAAACTAATAAAACTTCACCGCTTTGGGCTGTTACACGAGAAATTTACGAGCATTAATTATGCATTTAATAAAATAAAAGCAGCTAGTTTACAGGATAGTTCATTAAGTGTGCTTACACTTTTCATATTTACTAGCTTGTTTGCCCGTCCTCGGACGGAAGCTGAAATATTAAAGATGTACATTTACGTTTTCTTCTGTGATTGTAATTTTTTTTAGGAAATGTTGCACAAAGATAATTTTCTTAACTTATTAAATGAAATTAAGGCCTTTAGAAGATTTCTTGGTATACGATATTTTGTGTGAATCTCTTATCACTGGTCAAAAGGTTTCCCTACAGTTGACTATCCTTGATGAACACTTTCATCCGCTGAGGATTTTTAGATCTAGACAGAGCCACGTACAACTGTTCATGGGAAAATACGGGTTCATTGAGATAAATACCCAAATTTTCAAAAGTCTGACCCTGGGACTTGTTGATCGTCATCGCATACGCAGGAATTATCAGAATTTGTCGTCGTTTCAGTTCGAAAGGAAGAGTGACATCACTTGGAGCTAGGTCGAGTCTCCTGATGAAGACGATTTCACCTCGGTTGCATTTCGATACAATATCTGTGGTGATCAAGTTATTTTGTAATGATTTGACCATCAAACGCGTTCCATTGCAAAGACCGCTCTTTGGTTCAGATTTGGCAGCAGCATGATGATAATGCCTGTCTTCAGTGCCAATGTGTGTGGCGGAATTCCTGAAGGCGTTTCATCATGAAGAAATTCTGGAGGGTAATTCAATGCGTCCGCAGAATCTTCCGACACGGTCGAGTCAGACCTGTAATAAATTCAGAGATAACTACACAGCTGTGTGATGTTTCTGTTCATTTCGAGAATGTCCTTGTTGGTAGGTTCCAGAATCGCTCTTTTCGCAAGCTCTTCGGCAGGCATGTGTTGCAAGTTCTGACCTAAACTGCGGTGACCAGATCATCAACCGTTATCATTTTAGATGGAATTTCAATGGAACCTAACGGCACACCAGATATCTCCGGCAAACTTCCCAATCCAAATTTCAGCAGCCAATTGTTATGTTCACTTTCACCATCACTCTGAAGGCTTGCTGTGAGAGTCAATTTGGTAAACTGCTTCCATAATACGCTGGATTTGATGCAGCACTCGATGACAGCAACATGGGTGTCTTTTGCTACAACCAGCAAAGTCTGTCCTGAAGTCGCCACCGATTACGACGACTTTTCCACCAAACGGCTATTGAATCTGTAGGATGTCGCGCAACAGCTGATCGACACATCGAAGGCCATGCTTTGTCAGCATCGTAATTTCATCAATGATGATGAGCGAAGCTTGTCGTAGCGTTTTGCCTTCTGGCAAATTCAGTCTCATCGACGCAAACGATGTGTCGAGGAGGGGAACTGGAAGCTTGAATCCGCTGTGCGCAGTTAGTCCGCCTTTCAGTTAAGTCGCTGCGATTCCAGTGGTCGCAAAAGGAAAAATTATGTGACCTTTTCCACAAACAAATGAAACCAGCGTGGAGTACAGAAAAGCCTTTCCAGAGCTGCCAGGACCATCTAAGTAGAAAAGTCTCTTCTGGACATGCTCATCGTCAACAGCTCCCATAATTGCTGTGAAATCTTTCAACTGTTGCCCATTAAGAGAGCAAATTCTCGTTTCAGCTTCTTGTTCTTCTTGAACTGCGTCGTATAGCTGAACTTCGATTGGATGTCCTATCAGTTGCAGAATACCAATTGATGCGCAAGACAATCCATGTTGTTTGAGAATCGAGTTGATGTCGTGCAGAGCCATGTGCAATGCAACATTTCCGTTATGACGCCGTAGATAATCCAGCGACATGTCAAGTGAATGCTTGTTCCACAACAGGCGATCATTTGTTGGCATACAGAAGCAGCAAATCTATGCAAATGTCTGTTGCATTTGATATGTCGCGGACTCCTGCATGCATCAATCCCATTCTTCGTCTGAATCCAGCAAATGATGATGAAAGGCAGCTTCCTTGAAGGTGTTGTAAACAACACCATCGACGGTTCTGAGGAATTCAAAACTGGTAACGCTTTTGACGTGCAGCAAGAGCATCCTCAGATAGAATCGCTCCTTATCTTTGATTCCAACAGTGTACAATCTCGCAATGATCTTAGTGCCTCATCTTTGTCGCTACTTCCAGTTGTTGTTGACATACACATAATTGTATGGAATGTCGTTGTAGAGAAAATCTTGGGCGTTTGGATCAATCACGTTGAGCTGAAACAAAGATTCGAGCTTCGTGCGACCTGTTCATGCGGCTTCCAACGCCTCTTCTTCGCGACCTTCTTGAAACAACGCATTGCTGATTTGGCAAATGCACGGGCAATATTATCACGGAACGCGAACGGTCATGCATTGGCGACTCAAGCAAACGCCACATAGCTTCTGGTGCACTCACATACCTTGCGTTGATGAAATTTGACAACTTGTCGTGTAGAAGTTGAGGATTCTCGCCGGCAGTGATCGTCATTTTGGCACAGTCGAATCCTTTGTAAATATTTATAAATATATTTCACAGCTCCAAGTGACGTACAGACTTCAACGTTGATGTGAGCATTGTATCACAGCAGCAGATATGGATTGTACGGCACCACATATCTGTTATCCATTGATGATCCACGAACATCACCTGAAATTCCTTGTCGCCGATAATACAGAGGATATCCGTTCACATTGTGTGCTGTCGTGGTAGCAAATTGCTTCGGAAATGCCTTTGAGCACTTACCATCTTGCATGCAGGGTGTTCGAGGATTCGCAGCTGCGCATGGGCCATGCATCATGCATCGTGACAATTTCGTGCAACCGCGGATTTTCAGTCGCAACGGGAATTTCAGCAGACACAACTTGATCGATGGGGCTCAGAGCTTGTGAATTTATCGTCAACTCGCAATGTTATCAAGATGTGTGCATGAGGCAGCCCGCGTTTCTGGAACTCGATGGTGGAGACGAAAGCTGTTGAGATTCCCAGAACACCATGTGCAGTGAGATCCTGCATCAACGATTTCAGTTTCAACTTGAAAACACGTGCCACTAAGTCCGGTCGATCAGATGCTTGTTCACCTTGCTGCAAATTGTTGGCAATTTCTTTCCAGCTTGGATTCGCAGTTCATGTGATGAGAAGATTAGGAGCGCCTAGCTTCGCGAAAATCGACATCGTGTCCGCGCTTTGCTCTTTCATGTTCCGGGGTGAACCTTTGCAAGATGAAGGCAGAATAACAGGAACTCCGGCTTGTCCCCCAGCGTTATGAGAGGCATTCTCCATGTGATCGGCAAGTCTTTGATGAAGCTCAACTCGTAATTTCTGCTGATATTGGCAAATGTAATTAAAATTATTCGCTTCAACCTGCAGGTACGAATCAACAATCCACTGTCATGTGAGCTTTCCAGCACTGATTCGTGGTTTGAATGTGCCTCTGATAGCCGTTTGCGCTGCAACATCATGTAATTTGGTGACATTCCCTCTCGTTGCGTTGACTTGAGCTCCAGCATAAGCCTCACGTTGCGAATTTAGTTGCCATCCAGTTTCACGAAACAAATACAACAGCGGAAAGGACATTGCCTTCAAATTTGGTCTCAGAATGTTCAGAATAAACATAGGCTGTTGGGAGTTGTCTGGATTCTTCAGATACACGCAAATGTCACATTCAAAGAGCGGCTCACCATCGTTGTTCACAAACACCATAGCGATCTCGTTGTCAGTTGATGCATTGTAGTTGACGCTGATCCTAATGACGATCTCGCCGAAACACCAAATTCACACCTGGCATCGCCTCGCCTGCAGCATTTGCTTCCTGTGCAGCTCGATCTTCTACTTCAGCGAAGTATGGTGTATGTGTTGGCGAATCGATTGTGGATTCGAAAGTAGCGGTCAATTTGATCCAGAAGCCGTGGATTGCACTGAGTGTTGGCAGGATGATTTGTTCGAATTTCTGTTGCTTGTGTGCTGTCGACAACGTAAAGTTGAGCGTATTGTCTTGCTTGACCATTAGTTGGTTCAAGATGGCTTTTCTCGTGCTAAATTTTGCCATGAACCTTGAACACGTAAGGACTGCCTCCATGGAAGTCAACAACCTTAGCACCCATCGATGCAAATGACAATGCTCTGTTGTATGAACGAACATTTTCACGAAAACTTCTTTAGTCGGAATGCTCAGGATTTTATCGAAGCTCATGGAGAAATTGAAGATATTGGACCATGTTTCCATTCGAGTCAATCGGCTTTTCCACTTTCACTTTGCCGTTCCGACAGCAACTCCTGAATTTTCCATCTGATGGC